TATTTATATCCTATCTTTTTCCTGCAAGGAACCCAAGGTAGTTTACATAATCTTCCTCTGCTCCATTGTATCCTCACAGCAAGCCTGTGATAGTGAGTGGCCCAAAATCATCTAATAAACTTTATGGCCAACTGGGGACTAAACCCAGATCTTCCAGGTTCCAGTCCAGTACTCCCAGTCCAGTACTTCCAAGTCCCAGTCCAGTACTATGTTACACCGACTCTTGATGATATCCACTTACACTGTTTTCTCTGCAGGTGATAAAGTAGAAAGTGCCCTCCCCTCAGGAATCTCTGAAAAGAGCAGTGAAAGCCAGAAATAGGCTGTATATTATCAGTGTCATTGCTCTTCAGAGCCTCGAGAGAAAGAGCCACATGGGCATCTTATTTTTCTTTGTCAGTTTTCATTGGATCCCTGAGATCCTAAATCATTCATGTTGTTTTCCAAACTTTTATGTATCTCGTTTCCTTGACTCTTACTTTGACTATAGCACATTTAATTGGAGTACTGAAGTAGGGTTGTTTGTTTGTTTGTTTGTTTGTTTGTTGGCAATTGTGTGAATTTGAGATGGAGGGCCACCAAATATGTGGTGTCATAAGATTTGCTTGCTAATGTGTAATAAAGTTTGTGTATATGTGCATAATTTAGTAAATGTATTTTAATTTGCAATGGCAAAGTAGTGCAGTGTAGTCTTAGTAGTGAAATAGGTACCACGTAAGAGGTTTGTTGGAGATCCAGACTGAAGTATAATGTATTGATTACTCAAACTTAGTGGGTTGTCTTATGGCCAGACTAAGTCTGTGATCTTACCAAGTGAAACAACCAAGCATGTCAACCAAGCACTATCTTGACTGCTAAAGATCCCAGAAAGTAGTTGCCCATTTGCCTCGATGCTTAAGTTATGCTAAAGGAGACAAAGGCGGAAATGGATTGAATCTTCTACCAGTGCCTTAGAGCAGCCTTCCCAGTCTTGTGCCTTTCAGACATGTTTTGACCGCAACACAGAATTCTCAGTCAGTGACCCTGCTGGGTGGGGATTCTAGGAGCTGTGGTCCAAATGCCTCTGAAGGCCACCAGGTTGGGGGAGACTATGGCTTAGCTCCCTGTTTTCACTATCCACAGTAAAAATCTCAGGCTATGAGTTTCTCTTTTCCTCGCTGACCAGAAACTAGTAGCAGACTGGTAGCAGAGCAGACCTGGGGTGGCACATGGCCCCACCTCATAGTCTTCTCCATGCTTACAAAGCACAGCAGCAACAGTGTGTACTCTGTGTACTCTAGCACTAATCATCCTTATGAGGATGAGTCACTCAAAGATCCCTTGCAGCCCCACCCCAAAAAATTGAGGGGAAGCCTGAGTGGAGCCAGCCTGCCTCCCTTCCACTAGTACAATTGTCCACTTCGAATCTGAAAGTCTTTAAATGCACTTTCAGCTGAGAAAGCTGATTGCATATTCTAATGTCAGAGATCTGCCTCCTGATGTCAGACACGTATCTTCTGATCAAATGTGTAAAATCTTGTTTTGCTTCCCTGATTTTATTGAATAAAGATCAGGTTTATTTATTACTTTAGGTTCCATTTTTCTGCCAGAAATGATGCTATTAGAGTTCCGCACTAACATTTCTTCTGTAGAAAATAATCAGATGTGGCAGACAATTGGTATTTTACATATTTAAATTGGAATTCATGTTTTGTACACAGGGGCTGTAGTGAGCAACATAGTGCCTTTTCCATATGTTCAGAATACATATATGCTGGGTGCAACAGGCTCTGATCCCACTGCCTACATGCTGAGGCACACTGCAGATGAGCTAATGCATACATGCTACGCGGGGGCTGGAACCTGTCCTTGTGATGCTGATCCCCACATTCAAGTGTATGCACTTAGGAGCAGTCTAAATGTATGATCATGGTTTAAGTAATATGAAAATATGCCTACTTAAATGGTTAGGGTTTTTGTCACCCCAAAGATTTTTCTGTATTTATCACTAGCAGGATCAGAACTGCAAACTTAAATGGGTGCTACACATGTGGTTCCTCTCATAAGTGCGGCTTTGTAAAAATAGTAAAGTTGGTCAAGAGGAGGTGTAATAGAGAGCAGGATTTGGTCTCTTGACCTGCATGCCAAACAGCTGGTGATTTTTAACGCTATTTTAAAGGGCTCCATGTAGATAGTTTTTGATCACAGCCTGTATCTTGCAGGCATGTCAAAGTTCTTAGGTCAGAGTTTCAGTGTCTGCTGAATGTGGGGGTGAGGGGGGAGAATATGCTAAAATTAGTACTCCATTCAGTGACAGATTACATGATTGACATGAGGTATAGTACTTTAAATGATGTACACTTCAGGGGTGTTATGGAATAAACTATTTTTAAATACTTAAAACTGTGTTTAAAATTTATTTCTGGTGTTCACGAAAACCAGTTTTGTAGATGACTGGTGATCATCTAAATAATTAACCATGAGCTCTAAAGCTCAATCAATTGAATACACAACAGTTAGGATTAACTGCAGTTTAGTTTTGGGATGACAGTCTATGTTTTGGCTAATTTAAAGGGAAGCTAATGCTTCTGATCTTGTAGCTGCTTGCTCCATCATGTCATAATACTAAACAGTTGTTTAGAATTATGTGCAAACCAGCTGTTGGAAAGACTTGGTATCTGATCTAGTTGTTACGCAGACAGAAATAAAATTAACTTTGCCCTTACTTTTTCCGGATGAGACTACTTTGGTGGTAGGGAGGAACTGTAACGAAGAGGTTTGTTATTTGGATGCCTATGAATGCCTTTTAACAGCAGTTAGTAAAGGTTTTCCCTAGGCTTTCTACTTTGCAAACAACAGCAAAAGAATGGATGAGGGAGGACGAAGAGGATTTAGTTTACAATGTTAGGGAAATAGTGTAGCAGCCCTGGAATGGGTAGGTGGGCTGAGAGTGACAGGGAGAAAGAGAATTGCTGGGGGGCTGAGTTGAATGGTAGGAAAGAATAGAGGGTGAGTTGGATAGTAGAGAGCGTATTAGTTTCTGTGAAATGACTTCAGAGGAGAATGGAACAAAAGAGATATGCATACTTTTGCAAGTAGTGCTACTGTATAATAAAGTTTCTGGACACATGGGGCAGTAGCTTCCCTTAGTTAACAGTTTGTCTCACCCATGTTTTTAAAAAAAACTTCTCTATTCACTTCATCACATCCAGCCATGTCTCTCTATTTACTTGGTTACAAGTGCTTACTGATTATTTCTCTGATACATCTTAGTGTATCATAATAACAATAATCTCTTTTGCTTCATGTGACTGTGGTGGTTGGTTTATTGTACTAGCAGCAGCAGTGAAAGTGCACTTGACTGTTGCATCACAAGGCAGTATATTGGGGCCTGCTCTTTTAGCTTTGCAGCTGGTAAATTATAGAAGATTTGCCCTTGTTGTTTGGGGTAGTAGAGAAGCCACCTCAGCCTCATGTAATGTAAAGGCATTTGTTTTGAGATCTGGGACAATGCCTGCTAACTAACACTCTGACAATAGACTGGCTGTAATTGTCACAATTTGTATCAATGTAGGAAAGGGTTTTGACAGTATCATAAATAAAGAGGTGCTCCAGTGCGGGTAGGTGTTTATATCTGGAGGTCTGTCTGTCACAAAAGTTCCCATCAGTAAGCTTTTCTCAGTTTTCTAGAAATGGGAAGAAAGGTGTGGCCTGTGCTGTGGGTCTGGATATGTGAACTGTGTTCCCTTGTTGGGACTTGTGTACTTTTCACATTGTGCTGTCATGAACTCAGTTGCCAGTCAGAATCATATCCTCCTGTAAGGCTGCAGGGGGCAGTGGGAGGATGAATAGTGGGGACTGGGGGAGGGAAAAATGGCATGCAGAGCAGTCCAGTAATATAGCCAAGTGTTAACATTCTGACGTTATATTACGCAACCAATTAGGTATGTATGATGTTTGATTGGTTCTGGCAGTGGGAACAGAATGCAAACTAGGCTCCATGCCTCCTTTCCTTCCAAATCTATTCATGCTTTCCCTTTGCTCTAGCAATGTGCCATTGACATTGTATTACATTAGTGTAAATGTCTTGTGCAAGGAGATTTCATTTAATCCATCTGGGCCTAGCAGGTATACCTTGGCTATAAGATCACCTGGTCAGTAATATACAAAGTAAAGACCTTGTATGATATTTAAAAGGTCTTTAATTAGTAAACCTGTGGACATATTGCAAAATAAACGATCTCTTGCTCACTCTTCTAAATGACAGAACTTCAACAATTGAAGTATCAGGGGTGAGATTTGGAGAAACAATATCTTGCAACTTAGTTTTATTTCAGCATGGTGGGTGTCAGATTTAAACTGACTTTCTGACTTCCAAATAAAAACATTCATACTGTCATAAGCCAAGGTTGTTCCTTCGAGTAGTCAAAGCCACAGACAGTTTTTCTTGTAAATGTTCTTTATTGCTCCCAAGTACAAATCACCCAGAATGGATCTCTGAGCATGCAGAGATTCAGTGTTGAACCCAGTCCAGTGTTTATTTCTAGGGACTGTCCTTATGAACATGCCTGTACCACATCCCCTCAGGAGGAGCTTTCTGAAGGCAAGCACATCTTTCACACACTGCTCACTCAGTTGGGCACCCCACCTCTGCTGATGCCTTGCCATGGGGTCGAGAGCAGGGGACGGCCTGGCCTGTGTTTGAGAATTCCTCATCCTCAGAGACCCCTCCCACCAGCTGTACATTGTGATTGTTCCCAGAGATTGCTTGGCTTGGAGAAGTGCTTGACCTTGAGTTAATTACCTCTGCCTTCTCCATCTCAGAACCTTGATCTAGTCTAACCTCCCAATTTCACTGTAATCTATTTCACTTTCTGATTCTGAATAGTCTTAGATGCAGCCAGCAATCTGTGGGAATGACTACCCAATGCCTCCATCCTTCTCACTGCTGACACATATTAAAAATCATCTGTGGGTTTATCAGAAAGCATTTTGCTAACTTAAACGTTTATTTTTTACAGGTTTAATTCTTCTGTTTTATCTCATATTCTATGGCTTCTTAGCTGCACTCTTTACATTCACAATGTGGGTAATGCTTCAGACTTTGAGTAGTGATATACCCAAGTACCGTGACCGGATTTCTAGTCCAGGTAAGTGTGTACTCTTTTTATATGAAAGTATATTCTAGACTCAAACATAAATAGAAGGGTTTTCAATAAAAGTAGTTTTTTAGCCTTAAGTTAGCAGTATTTATCATTGTCATCATTGCACTTAGTTTCTAAATTCCTTTATGATGGTTATTCCTCGTTTTAAAACATCTTCATCTGCAACAAAGTGGGTGGCTAAACTGGTTAGACTTCCTGAAACTCTCTAAACCTCCTAAAACCTATGGGAATGGGGTGATATATAAAAAGTAAAATAAATATACAAACTGTCAAAACAGCTAAAGAAATACAGCAAACTAATAAACAGGCATTTTCTTATAGCAAAAGCACAAGTTAAATCTGCAGATGAAACACAGAGTATCTGATCAGTAAATAGGTCCTTTTATCCAAAAATCACAGTAATGGGGAAAGGAGTTTTTGGGTTTTTTTTTTTTTTTACCTGATTACAGTTGATTAGAAGATTGGGAATATTTCTGAGTCAAACCATAGTTGAAAGGTTCATGAATGTATTTTCCTCCTATTCTTGTTGTTATGTGCCATCAAGTCATCTCCAACTTATTACAACCCTATGAATGACTGAATTGCTTAGCTCTTCTAAATTCAAGGCTGTGGCTTCTTTTATGGAGTCAATCCATGTTTGGCCTTCCTTTTCTTCTTCTGTCTTCAACTTTCCCTAGCATGATTGGCTTCTTCAGGGAGTTTACCTTCTTATGATGTGCCCAAAGTATGACAGCCTCAGTTCTGTCATTTTTGCTTCTGAGGAACGTTTTGGCTTGATTTGATCTAGAACCCACTTCTTTGTCTTTCTACTGCTCCAGGGTACTTGCAAAGCTCTTCTCCAGCACTATGTTTTAGAGTTGTAGGGCTTAGTCTATCTAAATGTGTATAGGATTGTATGTTAAGTGAATTGTCGATAGGCTTTTAATGCTTAAAGTTGCCAAGTTCCCCAAAACATATTTCATTAGTTTTAATAATTTTACCCCTCTTAGTAGGACCTGGTAGTATTGATGTTCTGTAAATGGAGCAGGAAGACAATCTCTACTGAAGATCCACACTTATTAGTGGAATGTTCCTTGTATGAATTTGTTATCACAATGTAAACTGGAATCAAAACAGCTTTTTTCCTTCTAAATCATTTGAATGTCAATGATTTATAGTTGCTTAATTAATTAATTTATAGTTGCTTATGGACATTAATGTACAATACAGACAATTTTGTGTTGGTGATTTATGTGTTTATATAAGATCCTGATAAAGAGATCATTTCCAAATATTAATTTTACATCTTGGAAATCATTCTGCCAAAGGAATTTTACAGACTAACGGTTAGCTTTGGATTTTTATAGGGCTTATGATTTCACCAAAGCCAGATTCTGCACTGGAATTCTCACTAATTAGAAATGACTCAAGATCTTATAGACCCTATGTGGAAAATCTTCATAAATTTCTTGGAGGTATGTACAAATATTTTTATTTGTAAACAGCTTATTTAAACTACTGTCTAACAGTAAATACTGGTAGCTTTCCTATAAATGATGGAAGGTGCCTTTCCTTCTAAATTATTACAGTTTGACAAAGCTTAGCTATTTTCTGTGATGGTTAGGTAGCTTTCTTAAACATTCTGGGAGCTATTTCCATTCTGAACAGCAAGTCTTTTTCAAGCCAGTAAACATTCTCTGTGCATTTAGCAAAAACATGGTCAGAAATGTGTACACTCCGTGTTAAAAAAGAAGTAAATTCTTAGCCTAGACAGCCTCTATTCTGCACAAAGAATCTCACCCTGATGTTTCCTAGCTTTTACAAAAGCAGCTTCTGTTGGTGGCCAAGAATGCTTCTTGCTGCTTACATAGGTATGTTGACTGTGACCTTCCTTTGGGAATGGAGGTTGTGCAAGCATTATCCACACCTTTTTATAAGTGCAGAGGTTGACCACTGTGATGTAATCAGCATGGGACTATTCTTTAAAACAACGCAGATGCTGTAAGTAGTGGAGAATGCTGCTGCTACCAGTCTCTCTGAGATTGGAGGGGATGGGAACATATTCAGCACCAGGATTCTCTGGTATCATACAAGGTAATATGTCATTAGCTGGTGAGAAAAAGCTTTTGGCATTTATATGACTAATAGTGAAGAGTTTCATCCTTTATCCTGGCAACAGAGGATTGGGCTTGTCCCTGATATTGTGCTGTACTTTGGAGCTGCTTAGAACCAGTGAAAAGTCTCTTGAGTAAGGTAACTATTTAACTGAACAAAGAATGCCCATCAAATCCCAGCCATTAATGGCATGAACAAATCTGTGGTACTGTGACTTACTTGGCAAACTGTAGATTGACTGTACCTTGCAGTGGATTTTAAGCCATTGGGTATGGCCCTCTGTCTTAAATGTGTACAGTGTCTAGTACTATTACAGCGCAATCCTACTGTCACCAGACATTGTCCAGCTGGCCTTAGGAAAAGTTGAGGTCCTAGCTCCAATGTTGGTACACTTTCTGTCCACCCTCAGAGCCAACACGGTTCTTTCTATGCTGTCTGTGGAGCCAAAGTTGGAAGGCAGAGCATGCAGCTGGTGTGGTTTTCTACAGCTGGGAAATGACAGGGCAGAGCCGTTCATGCTGTAGCCTTTAAGCAGGCACCGTAGATTGCTTGGCAGTGCAATTGAATAACCAAGGGAAGTTAGACCAGGGTATAATTTGCTATTCATCTCTCACCTATAAGAAGAAACACATTCTCTAGCATTGTAGCTTTTCACATTAGAATAAAATGTGTTTTGCAAGAACATTTATAATCAGGTCTTGAGCCTGAGGCAAAACTAAAACTCTGCCCTCTTGAATCTAGCAATTGTAATGCTCATCTGTCAGTCACTGGGCACATTATTATGTGTCATTAACCCACCATAAGTCATGGTGGATCAGTTGTCATGCAGACAAGCCATGGTAAGTCCAACAGGCAATTGGGCTCACCTCCCTCCATTGATTTTTCCACTGACATCCCAGGAAAATCAGTGTAATGTAGTGGTTGAGAGTGTGGGACTGGGACTTAAAAGTGATTTTAATTATATGAAATATCACCACTATTTATTTTGATATTTTAAAAGGGACTTATGGGGCATGTTGATGAAAGTGAGTGAATTTGTCTTTTGTGTGGCAGGTGCTTCTTCGTATGTATGTTGTGCTGGTGCTTTACTTATGCAATGTACACTTGAATGCTTAATTCAGCCAATAACCTGTTTACACAAGACAGTACACTTCTGTGTACAACTCCTGTTGGGTGGATTATCAGTGCAATTTTATTCATATTTACTTTGAAATTTTAGTGGCTCTTACTTTGACATAACTATGCACACAGTTGCAGCGTTAATTTTGCAGGGCATGAGAGGGGAGTGAATGGATGGAAAGTGTTACAGGAGGGCAAGCTGTGGATTCTTATACATTCACCTCTTGAAATCTGACTGGGTCTCATTCATTCTGGGTGTGGTCCACTCCACATGGTTGGACACCCTCATACCTTGTATTATTTTACATGTTACAGGCCTGGAAAGGTGAGAGTAGACACAAAGGACAGTCAGAGGGCAAATAAAGGTGACAAAGAAGGTGAAAAAGAGAGAAGTTAACAGACAGAATAAGAGAGAGAGAAAGGCGAACAAAGGTGGCAGAAGCGATGACAGGATGACGGTGAGAGGAGAGATGAATAGAAGGTAAACGAGGAGATTAAAGAAAATAAGAGAAGATGCCTTGGGAAAGTGAAGGCAAACTAACATGGAAGAAAAGGAGAATGAATTTCAGTGAGACTTTAGAGAACACAAATGCCTTTTTGCCAAGAAAGTGCAAACAGGAATGTACTGCTAGCATGCCCTACATTTAAATTAAATACGGACTTACTTGTATTGAAAAAAAAAGTCTGCTGGTTTTAAAGTGTTTGTTTTGCATATCACAGCAACCCATAATTTATTTAAATTACAAGTAACTTATGAATGAGCTCAGTCAACCCCATAGAAGCAGGAGCAACTGGCCATGGTTTCTTTAGCATCATTTGCAAACTTGAACCTTGTCTTTTTCCCACAACAATCTCCGAGTGCTTTCTGTTTTGTAAGGGGAGGGACAAGCCAGAGTTCCTGTTTGCATGTAATGTTAAATTAAGGAAAAAGTCCATTGGTTACTAAGTTTTTCTAGCTTGTAGCTTTAACAATATGGTAGGTTCTTGTAACATGCAAATCAGGCTAATGAAACATATATTGAGATATATAGAAACAAAAGTTGGGAACTATCAAAGCTGCTCAGATACTTCAGATATAAAAACAAGCCATTGAAAGTAAGTTTGAGAAAAGCAAAAGTCCGATAAATTCTACAATTTTAGTAGTAAGTGGTCTAAAATCCTCAGTTCTTGTATTAGAGTGCAATGGGGAAGCCTCTACACAATTGGAGAGGGTTTTTGATATGTAAAGAAATACCTGGTCCAGCAGCGGCCTCAAACCTGAAATTATACTCTTTATTAGGTACTACAGTTGAATAATTAATGATATTTCTGGTTATTTAAGAATACAGGTTGTTCACTATATTAAAACAAGTTGGCATTTTGCAAGATAAACTAACAAGTGTATGTTCTTGCATATATGAAGTATGCTTTGAAAAGAATAACTTGAAGAGATCATTCAGCAAAGAGCTGCCAACAGATGACATTTTGAAAGCTCTGAATGGCTTCATACTAAAAAAATGGATTGATTCAGATGGTTGAAAGTTGTTCCACATGCAACATGGATTATCTGCTTCTTACACAGTTAAGAAGTATTTACCAAGCTCATGAAAGAGGTATTAGCAAAATGTGTAAAAAATGCAAATCTCAAAACTAGTGTTCTTAATTTGAGGTGGTTTGAGGCTCTCTGCCCGGAGTGGTTCGGGAACATGCAAACATATCTCTTGCGCCACACCAAAGTGAGATGGCTGTAACGAGGAAAGGCACTCACAAGGCTGTCTGAATGGAATTATGAAGTTCTGGAAAAGTATATCATCCACTCACACTTTAAAATTTACTCTGGCTTTTGAAATTGGCGTATCTTGCAGGTGTAAGAACATAAGAAAAGCCATGCTGGATCAGACCAGTGGTCCATCTAGTCTAGCACTCTGTTCCCTGGCAAACCAGCTTCCCATAGGATCCAAGCAGGATGAGGGGATACCTCCTCCCCAAGCTCCTCAGCAACTATTGTATGCAGGCATATTGCCCCGGCACTTGAGATAGCACGGCCATTAACATTAGTAGCCATTGATAGTCTTCTCCACCATGGATTTGTCCAGTCCTCTTTTAAAGCTGTCCAAACTGGTGGTCATTAGTACTTCCTGTGGCAGTGAATTCCGTAGTTTAACTACGCCCTGTGTCAAGAAATACTTCCTTTTATCTGTTCTGAATCTCCCACCAATCAGCTTCATGGAATGACCCCCAGTATCAGTATTATGGCGCAGGCAGAAAAGTTTCCATCTTCACTTTCTTCATAGCATGCGTACTTTTGAATGTGTTTAGCTGTTTGAATGAACTGCTTATTTCCACCTAGAGGAGAAATTCCTTTTTTTGTTATGCAAAGAAAGGAAGCATTCAAAGATATGCCAAAACTATTTTTTGTTGAATCAAAGCGATGTAATGCAACATATGGAACAATTAGTTGAGCAGGTTGCTGCCTGTTGCCCCCTAAAAGATTGTGTGAGGGTTAGGTATACAGTGGCCATTCTGTGTTGACATTTAGTACAAGTTGAAGAAAATTCCTTGAATTTTTTGTGACTTACAGTTCATGATCCAATATCAGCCTCAGCCTTTACTGAAGTTTTGGTATCAATAATGAAGAGCCAGTGCTGTTGCTGTTTGGTGAGACTTACTTTTGTGAACATGGCTCTTTGCTAATAATGGCTCTCAAAACACAAGGCAGAAGCAGACTAATAACTGGAAATTTTCCTAGGATATAATTAATTAAAGGAACCCAGAAACTTTGAATATACTCCAGGAAAACTCATTGGAATCAAATACTGCAAAAAAGGCTCAAGTGTCCTACTAAAAATGAACTACTAGTTTTTGTTACTCAACAGAAACTTAATCAAGTAGTGTCATAAAGCATGTGTTACACAGTGATTGGAACATAACACAAATTAAAACATGTTAATTCAGTAGTAGACTTTATTGTAGTTTTAGAAAGAACTAATAAACAGTATGTAGCAAGTAGCATCTGTTGCTGTTTGGTGCCAGCTACTTTTTAGCTAGTCTTTGACCAAAGAGAGCCTTGAAATGAACAGGAGGTGAGCTTTCACTCCTTCATTTCACACCTGGCTGCATGGGCTTTTGGGGCAGAGTGCCATGTATAGGGTGTGGTTCTAGTTACTGGTAATTTGAAGGCCATAGGACAGATGTTTGTGCTACTAACGGATACAATTGTCCCAATCTCTAATTTCCAGTAGTAAATGCCTTTCAGAGCATTTGTTTTGCCCCACTTATTTCATTTCTTCATTTAACAGTGGGGAAGAGATGTTTGGAAATAAACATCGACATTGAAGAATGCGTGTTATGTAACTAATTTTAAAGTAAGAAGAATTTCATATTTATTGAACTATTATTTAATGTGATGTATTGCTTTTCCTAGCATATGATGATTCAAAGCAATCCAGGAACATTCGGTGCATTCCAGGACAGCTCTTTGATCAAAATTCTGTTAACAAGTCAGCGTGCCAATTTAGTCGCAGTAAACTGGGACCATGCTCTGGACTACAGGATGAAAATTTTGGTTATGCCAATGGAACACCATGTGTTATTATAAAAATGAATAGAGTAAGTGAAGTTACTCTTCCTTGTTATCTAAGTCACCCAGATCTTGCTGTCAACTTTTTTCAAACCTTGCAATTTGTGATCAGTCAACAATTATTAAGCAATCTACTGTGTGCTGCCAAGCAAACAAATTCTGTATGAGCAAGATTCTCTTTGATTTCTACATTAGGGTGCTTCAGAGGTGTAGCGGAAAGTATATGTAGAGCTGTGCACATACTTAAAATTAGTTTAAAGCTATTGCATGCTCACTTCAGAGGTTCTCATTTAGACTAATTGTATTAAAAGTGTGTAATACTAGTTGTGTAAAATAGTAGTTTGGCTAAATTCCATTATTACTACTATCAAGAGCAAGGGGCAGTATGTGACATACAAGAAATTATCTACCAATTGACCAAAACTGTTCTTCACAGAGCTATGCAGTACAGGGTTAATGTACCTTTCTGCAAAGAAAGATAAGGTCGGTAATTGGTCTTGAAAACTCTGCTGCAAACTTAATTGAAGTTGAATATTTTCTTTTTGGACAGTTGATTGCATGTTATGTGACATGTTGCTTGCATATGCCATCTGGATTCAGCTACTAGTGTTACATGCCTAATTTGAAGTAATGAATTTCTGCTGCTCAAAATGCCATGTGGAGGGGCATCACTCTTTAGTACTGCTGAGACTGTAGTTTAAAGCAAGATCATATTGAAACCCCTAAACCTGCAGACTGCTTGCTAATCATTTCTCTTCTTTACTGAGAAATCTTTTCGGTCTTGCACCCAGTGCAAAGGTACCACAGCTAATAAGCAAAGTACAAATTCACTGCATATCTTGCCAAACTATTATGACTGAGCTGGTTACCTTAATGAGACTGTAGCAGAATCCAGTCCAGAGTTTCTTGCCAAATCTCATTGGCAGAGTTGCCAGGGAATTGGGTGAAGGGCTGTGTACATGAGTGCAACATAACAAAGCTGCTTATTTTCAATAGGTGCATTAGTAGACAATACGTATGATTTTGCACATTGTGGTGCTAACAGACCAGCTGAATATAAGCTTTAGCATGAGTAGACCTGCAAAGCTGTCCTTCATTACCTTTCTCTCAAATCTTAATATATGTGCTCCTAAGTTGGGAATGTAGTTTTTGTATACAGGCAGTCCCTGAGTTATGAAGTCCAAGTTGGGAGCAACCTGGACTTAGGAACAAACTGCCCTAAAGCCTATTAATTAAAAAAAAATACTGCAGAAAACCGTCATCAGCATAGAGACAGAGGAGGCGAAAGGTTAGATATGGAGGCCTCCAAAGTATGTTTTCCTGTCTCACCCATCCTGAGAGGGAAATCTCTCCAGCATTCCCTGGCTGGAAAGAGGAGGCACTGGTGACTTGGGGGCAGGGAGAGATATTCATGGTTTTTCCATTTTCATGGGAGTACTGTGCCCCTAACCCCCGCAAATATAGAGGGTCACCTATACATCATCCTGCTTACATACAAATTTGACTTAAAGACAAATTTCCATTTTCTCAGCAGAATTTGTTACTAACCTGGGAACTGCCTGTAAATGAAAAGTTTCTCATAGAAAAGATATATGAGATAAGCAAAACATATGTTGCCCTGCTAGAATATTTCACTGTGCAATTTTTCTTATAAAAGTCACTCAGAAAAGTGATTCTTATAGATATTATCCTCTTTATTTCAGATAATTGGATTAAAGCCTAATGGGAAGCCCTTTATAGATTGTAAACCCAAGGTGAGCATTTTAAAATAATAATGTGCATATTTTCATGTTCTTAAAAGTGAGGGGAAAGTAGGAATAAAAAGTAGCAATATAAAATAATAAAACTTGCTAACATTATTATTGCTCAGTTTGTCCCTTTTTTAAAAAAATCTAGTTATTTCCTTTTTAACCTTTGAATGAGTTTATCAGCTTTAAAATTTTGTGTTTTTAGCCTTTACTTAGAATACTTACTATGTTTTTCATATTTGCTTTCTTTTTCTTTTGTTCCATTTCATAACCAACATTTTATTTTTCTCTCCATGCTGCAAATGTACCTTACACAATATAATTTTGATGGGTAAGAAAATAAGCACTGAAAGAGAGTTTAAAAACTAGTGTTTGTACTGTGAAATTGTTTGGTTGTAAGCACATTCCATTATCTCTAAAATATATGTGTTTATTATAAATGTCATATAGCTTTCAAATATTGCCCCTCATGCAGATTATCTTAGTTTGTATGTGTGCAGACACAAACTGACAAGAAAGACAGGTGTATCAGCTCTTTTGACTTGAATGAACTTGGTTTTCAGAAGCACATGCTACCCTCCCATCCCTCAGTGACAAATTCCCCTTCACCATACCTGATTTCACCATTGTGCGCTGTTGCCAAGTCTACTTAAGATAAAAGCAGATACACTGATCTTGGAAACTCCAGTTAAAGCTGGATTCTCAAAGTCAGTTTAGATATGAACCCACTTTCATTTTAAACTTTATCTATTGCTTATGTAATACATATGTGTACTACTGAAATATATGAGACATGCAATACCTTAACTAGCTAGAGGGAAATGAAAGGAGGGTACATGTGATGTCCCATTCTCATTCAGCAAGTCTGAACCTTATGGCTGCTATGTCATAGAATGTTTTTAACAATATGTAAAAAAGAGATGTGTATATAAATTCTGCTACAGATATATAAGGTATCCAGATGGAAATGTAACATTTCTTGCATAAATGGTAGAACATAATGTGCATATCCCTATCTACACATTGTTATTGAAGTATTGACAGTGATGTGGTTTGCATACAAAGTTAATCATTGGTTTATTCAACACATGGGTTGTTGAATTCTGAGTTAAGTGTGAATCCAGACATGCTGACAAACCAGGATATGTTAACCATGGGCAATTCAGAAAAAGAAGTCATGGTTTGTGTTTGGTTATGAACTCTGGTTTGTTTGAAAGCTGAATTGTTGGTGACATGTCAATCCAGAGCTATGGGTTGTTCATGGGTTACTTTTCTGGGCTATACAGGTGGCCAGCAAGGGTAGTAAAGAATACCTCTCCCCCCCAGCAAAATTTCAGAAACAGGGAGTGAGTGGGTTAAACAGTAAAGAGTAGAAAGGACAGAGCATAAGCAGTTGAGAAAATAAACAATGGTTTGTTCAGTTGTCTGTCGGACAAATCCTGGGAAAGACCACAAACCATGGGTTATCCATTAAGAATCTTTACAGCATTCTAGCCACTGAATCTTTCCTGTTCTACAGTTGCATTTTCTTTGTAAATGTTGTGTCAGCTTTCCTCTTTCCAAATGCTTATCTTCAGTTCCTGTGATCTACCATATTTATATCATGCACTAGACTTTCTGAAGATGGTTTTCCAAAGTCTTGTTTGCTGTTTTTCTAAGTCTTTGCTGTAGGCATATTGCTTACAATTAACTGGATTGTCATAGATTTTTAAAATCTGTTTTTCCTCCGTACATACTTTCTTATAACTTCTAGAGAAATTCTCTGTGGTATAAACAGCTTCACTTCCATTAATTCTTCAGTGAGCTTCATTTCACCCTTCTAATAACTTTTTACTTTCTTGAAAGATGTGTAGAAAGTTTGACATTTACATCTGATACTTCAAACATTTGCTGTTGACAGTTCTGTGACATCTTAATCCTCAAAATTTTTAAATGATCTTTTGAAGTTTCCTACATTTTACTTAGTTTCTTCTTGGGTCTTGTTCTGCAAACTGCTGTCAAAATTGTTGCTTGGTAATATCTTGTAATGCTAGACCTTGCTTCAGTGATCTGTTGCAACATTCTCATATGGAATCTTATTTTCTTATTTTCCATATATAAAATTGTTGGAATAACATTAGTTTTTGCTGTATGTGTTGTAGTGACTAGGAAAAACCCTTAGAAGTTTTGGCAGTACCTTGATTCTAATGACCAGTTCTTACAGCCTTATTTATTAATGGTTGTTTACATGAGAATTATACTCAGAGTATTTTTCTTTTCATTTAGCTTTCACTACACTTGTAGCTTCTCCAGAAACTACATTATCTCCTAATAGTGTATAGACTTGTTGAAACAATAACTAATTTTGTCAGTGTTTTCATTGGAAGTCTTAATATTTGCTTTTTATTAAAATATGTGCAACACTAATTATACACTTAGAAAAGCCCCCCTTGATTCCATATTTCTTTTCTCATTTTTACCAGTGATTCAAAGGCCATTAACTTAGCTGAAGCTAATTGCTACGTTAGATTAATTCAGGTTGACAAATTTTGCCCAAATCCAAATATTTTATAACTTTTTAAAAGAAAGGATATTCTATCCTATCATATGCCTTTCTGGCTTCCATAAAAAGTATGGTAAGTTACCTTAGTACTTTTAAGAGACCAAACCCCACACAGCCAATTCCTGATTCACCTGCCATCTCCCTAGGTATGTACTACCTCATGTCTCATCCCAGCTGCAGGCAGTTAAGCACAATTTGGCACCTTAGCAATCTGGCAAGACCTCAGCAGTCTTTCACTGCCTTGTTCACCGTTACTGTGGCTGAGGTCAGTGATTTTAGAGTAATTCTTCATTGAAGGATGACTTGTACAAGCTTAAGAACCTCCTCTGCTGCATCTGCCTTTTTATTAAATTGCATGCTCCTGCTTCCACAGACATTTAAATTCTGGTGCTTCAAGAGACTCTCAGCTTTGTTAGGAGGTTGTGCAGATGAGCAAGCTTTCTTTCCCCACCCCCACTGAATGTAACATGAATAACAACAAAATCAACTGTGATAACTAGATTTGGGTTACAGAGAGAGAGTCGTAATTAGCATCTTATGTGTGCCTTTTACTGCACAGCAAAGAGTTATTCGCACGGGACTCAATCCTGAAAGTTGACTTGCAAATAAAAGCCCTTTTTCCCCCTCTTACAAATATCCATTACTACATTGGTGGTTACTGTTCAAGCACACTTAAAATGAGAAGTCCATTGAGAAATGGAAATAGAGCTAGAGGCAGAATTCACATTAAAGATCACCAGAGAACACTCCAAACTTACTATTACAAAATGCAATTGCAATTTTGAAAATAATTATTTTCTAACTTATTTTTGCTTTAAAGTTTAATGCTGTCAAAATAAGGCCTGCCTTTTTTATATAACCATGAATGATAAATAGGACTTATTTTTATATGAGAAGTATAGGTCTTTACTGAAGTACTGTTAAGTCAATGAGAAAATTGGTTTCTTGTACTTGGAAAGAATTGTTGCTGTGTAGATCTCAGTTTTTGGGACCCTATGTTAAATTCCTTTGTCCTATTTTAAAAATAAGTTAGTTTTACCTGTATTTTTATTTATTTGATTTATTTATATCCCATCTTTAGGAAGATGGCAAGGCTACAATACAGTATTTTCCTGATGGGGGAGAAATTGATTTGATGTATTTCCCATACTATGGGAAACGCTTACATGTGAGTATAGCTTGCTTTTATTTGTGGCAAATTGGTTTTTATTCATTTTCAGAAAATAAAATAGATTCACTGACTACCAGAATGCAGTTAGTTTGACCCTCAACTGAATACGGCTGTGTTTTATCCACCAGTCACTTCAACTTTGTTTAAAACAAACAAAAACCCTCTTACTGATAATTTCTGTGCTTGCTGAAATGTGTTAAAATTAGCAGTAGTAGATGGCAGCTATCATTCAGCTATCATTCATTTATCTCCAGGGCTTCTGATGTATCAATGATAATTTCTTAAATAGTGAGTTGATGCTGGTTTTTCTCTACAATCACAGGGTTGTTTGTCCCTAACCCAAAAAATTAAAAAATAGATACTTAATTTTTTTATACAGCATTGCAGGCGCCGTGTGTACCAGTGGTTTGCAGGTTAGTTCAGATTTTGCAAATAATAGCAAAAATCTGGAATAATTTTGGAATACAATCATACCTTTATTTCTTTTAAGTCTTTGAACAAGTCTGTTGAAACATTATAGCAGTTGTCAAAAATGGTGAAGGGGTAAGTCAGTAGAAAAGGAATATATCACTTAGGATACAATCCTGTGCTTACTTACCTGTGAGTAACCCTTATTGAACTCAGTGGGGATTACTTCAGAGTAGTCCTGCATAGGACTGCAGTATTAATTCCAGTAGTTTCTGTCACAGTGAATAGCTGATGAGTGCAATTTTAAGCGTACATCTTCTGATTAAACAAGCATAAAATGGGCTGCAGTCCATTACAGGTGCTGCCTTATTCCGGTATTTTCTAATGCAAACAAGTATTAAGCCTAATTAAGACATAATGGAGATGCTGAGTATGCTCATTTAAACTTGCATATCATTTGTTTTTAATAGTCTTAATAAACCTACTTTTGTTTTTTAACTTGCTTCTTTCTCTTTAACCAGCCTGACTACTTACAGCCTTTAGTGGCAGTTCAATTAATATTTAATACAACCAGTACCAAAGAAGATGTAACAGTTGAATGCAAGATCATGGGAGCAAGCAATTTAAAAAATGAAGATGAACGTGACAAGTTTCTGGGACGTGTTTCCTTCAAATTCCAGATATCTAAATAGAAGTCATCAAAATCTTCACAAAGTAAACTTTGTGTTCTTTTTTTTTAATCAGCGGGACCTGCCATTCTGGGAGATGAGACCACCTTTGAGAAGCTTGGGGTGGAACATGGCATTCAGGGTAGCATAATAATGTGCTTCCAAATAATGTTTTAAAACCCTCACAAAGTTAACTGCCCATCATGCTTTTGCCTACCATGTTGGACCAGTGTACAGACATAGTCATTTTAGGGACCTGTAAATAGTTTCCAAACATGTAATCATGGTGAACTTTGTCCTGTTCCAAAATGTGGGCTTTTCCCCCAAGTGAGTGTCTCAAATGTGCCGTGCTATGCTATGTAAATATTGTATTGGTTTAACACTGGTTTAACTGTCATATCAATACCGACAAAGACAAGTGAGAATTTCAATCTACCCAATGCAACATAGTGAGTTGTATTTGTGCAGGGATGCCTTAAGACCTGTAGTGGGTAGCAGATAGAGATTTAAGTGGATTTTAAATGTTAGTATTGATTTTTGACATTATTTAAATATTGAACTAGTCTGTCGTGCTTGTCATTGTGCAGGAATTGTGTGTATGTGTAATATTTGGTCTAGATTTGATATTTTAGTTGAGAAATTGATGTCATACTGTTAATTGCTTGCTGTTTTGTGAAGCACAGAAAACCAATACAATGTCACTTTTAAAACTTTTTAGTTAAAAACTATAAGTATGAAACAGCTTCTTTACAATGTCTATGGTTTAGATACCTGATAACAACTGTATACAAAGCTGCTTGAAAGACCAGACCTCACTATGTGGGAGTAGACTTATACTTTCCAATAATAAAAAAATCCCTGAATGGAGAAACATCTATTAAAATTTTAAAGTTAAGTAAGGACTGTCTTGATTAAACATTCCTTTATTTGTATACTTTTCACATGAGTTTTGTTCTATTTGATTAGCATGTGAAATTGTGTTTCAGTGTCCATTAGTCACATGCATCTATTTAACACCTTTTGCTTATCAAGAGGCAGTACAGAAACCTCTTTTCACTTTAGCTGAGCTATTGATATATTCCTTTAACAACAAAGTGATTCAACATGTGCATTAATACATAAAACTAAACTTTCATATTGTAAATTATATTCCAATAGTTTAAAAAAACCCATAACCAGTTAAATGACCACAGTAAGAACCAAGCCAAGAAATTAATCAAAGGTCAATCTGAGAAGAAAGATCTTCATTTGTGTCAAAATAACATTCAAATTGAACAAGCCAGCTTGAGAAGGAAATTGCAATATTTTTGTTGTGTAATCCTGGAAATACTGTTCCTTGGCTATTAGGCAGCTGCATCAGGCTATATTATGCATGACTATATAATGCCTGATTATGAACTCAAAGGAGGGTGGCTTTGTTTTTTCAGTGAATATTTGCTGATCATGATGTACAATTGGGCCATTGCTTCATTAAGAGGCTGATAGGCTTCCTTTAAACACAAACTACATCTTTGAGAAAGACTGTCTTTTCATTTCCTCCCATTGCTAAAAGAGGCCTCCTTCTCCTGCTTTAAGAGTGTTTAAGAGTGGTTATATTACCATAGGTTTCCATTATGATGTAATAAGCAGTGATGCATGCTATTGCTACACACATCTGTGGGAAAATTGATGCTGGCCATCAAACTACCTATAATTGCAACATAGCAAGAGTCCCTTAAGTTCCAGTGAATGCCTGCTGAAGCTTTTGTGACAGGGATTAATCATTAAGGTTAATGCACTAGAAACCTTAATCATTAAGGTTTCTAGTGCATGTGTGAGGAGAGCATATGTATCTTTCTGCTGCAGCCGAAAGCTGTTCTCAGTCTCACTGTTAACAGTTTACAGTAACTACTCATGCTGATTGCAAGGAGACAGGCAGTGTGGCCAAGGGTGCAGAAGGACCAGGAACCCCCTAATTCCATTATGATGCATCATGAATGTTTATGGGTCTATAAAGAAAGGAGATAAATTGTTGCCTGTCAGGAAAGCAATGCCAGCCATCTAGTTTTATTTGTCAGGCTTTGTATCTGGTTTCAATCAGTGTAGTACAGGTCACTTTCTATCCTACTTCAGTTGTGGAATTGAGTTTCACAGGCATTCAATCAGCACAGTCTAAAAGATAATAGAGCTTGGTTGCTTCTTTTGATGTGTAATTCGATAGAAAAATGGGCCTTATTATATACCACCATAAGGTTTGTGACTTCATCTAACTACCTTTTTCAAATACTTATGTTCTCTTTTCCTGACATGGCACTGCCTTCATCATGATACAGGGAGCAAAAAGTGATTGGCAAAAGTTCTTTTAGAACCAGACGTGAAGGCAGCACAAAGAAAATGTGTAGAGGAGCAGGGGGAATAATGAAGCCCTGTGGTTGGTAAGTGGGGTTGGACAGGGTAAATGCACACTTAAATATAGGCGTTCAACAGGACCTGTAGCTAGTGGGCAGCTCACTGTAAGACAGTGAATATAGGGGTGGGGGGAGAAGGAATGGGAGTTACGGGTTTTATGAAAAGATAGTTGGATGTGTATTTTTAAAAAATAATTCAAATAACCAGTGTCTGGCCTGCTACTGCCAAAGGTTCATGACATGGCTAGCATAGGATACTGGATGTGCACACTGGAAAAAATGTGAAGGTCATCAGCAGCTACCTAAAAGTCATGTGAAGAGAGGAGGATATATGTGATTTTCAAGTTTAAGGGTCATAGTGCAGTGAGAAGATGGATAGTACTGACTGGATTTCAGTTAATGTTTTGGAAAGACTTGTTCTCGAGTGATTTGATTTATAGACCACAGTAACATTCTGAAGTCCTTGAGCATTAACTTGAGATAAGGATTATTTATGTCTTAACCACTCTGTAGGTCCATAATCAGGATAATGAAAAAAATATTTCTTCCTGTTACGTTTCAAGTGGAGATACTAATCATTTGGAACTTTTCTTGTGGACCAACACTGCTGCATAGATCTGCCTTGCCATGGTTTCCATGCGGTACCCCCTCAATCTACCAACATCATGTGCTCCTTCTGTGCCTGTCCCTGTGCCAATCCACAGTGACTTGAGTTTGGCTGGTGATACTGCAGAAAGAACAGTCTCTCCATTCCTGGACCTAGTACATAACTTTCCAAGCAGTGGGATGTTGGCTGTGGCTGGGCTGGTGCTCTCCATGGATGCAAGGAGTGTTGGAAGGAATGGCCTCCATATGGATGATGTCATAGACTGGATCCACTATTGGTTCAGCAAGCTGCTGTGTCTCCAGTCCAAGTGACACTGCCATCTGGAGAATCTGCTTGGAAAACTGTCTCAGGTCCTCAAAGGGGGATCCTGGCCCCTGTGCCAAAATGGTATCAGCAAGAGACGAGGTGACCTATTCCTCATGCAGCAGTGCATCCGAGTTGGAGGTGTAGTCTTCTGGGCCTGAAGCTGGTGACTCATGTTGATGAGGCAGACACATGAGGTGGGGGTGGCAGCTTAGGCACTGGAACTGGCATCCTGGGCCCCTCTGGGTGGTAGATCAGGGGCCCCCACTGCAGAAACCAAGGCTTCACAGTGCCTCTTCCCTGGATAGCCACAGGAATAATGCAGTGGTGGCAGCATCCAGTAGGCCTCCTGGCCCCACGTTGGCAGCAGAGACCTGGACTGTTCCCTTGGCCTGTGGCTGGAGTCATGCAACAGCATGAGTGAAAATGCAGCTGCATATGGTGAAGGTATGGTGGCTAGGCTCACTGGCAGCATTGCAGGTGTTGCTTCCCATGTGGAGAGAACAGCATTCCTGTCTAGGCTATCACTGAGCGTGGGCAGGCTGGAGTACAGAGTGATGAGTCCTGGATCTCCCCTTCAACGTCAGTGGAGTATAGTGCCTAGGCCACTTCTTGTGTTGCATCCTCTTTGCCTCTGCCATTTTCTTGGCCCTTTTCCTTGCCCATTGTCCTTTCTCCATGTGTCCAGGCATGGGTGGCACAGATTGGACAGCTGCTGAGGCTCCAATGGAGGGTGGAAAGGAGGAACAACCCACAAGGTGGATGGGCTTTCTGGTGGCACTGCCATAGCTGAGTCAACAGCCAAAAAGTTGTGACTCCAAAGCTCAGCCTGGTGGTGACAAATCAGTTTTTCAGAGCCTGCGATCTGTATGCCTGGCAGTGTATCCACACAATGCTCTTTGGCACAAGAGGCGCAATGAGTGCCCAGCTGTGGAAGGCAAGCAACTTGCAAAGTGGATGCACTTCTAGAAGGGCACTTTGAGTGCCACCAGCAGAAGAATAAGCAGAAAAGAAGCAAGATGAAGAATTGGAAAAAAGATAATAAAGGGCTTTTAAAAGAGATTTTTTTGGAGAGGAGGAAGAGTAAAATGAGGGTTAAAACAAAGTTTTTGAAGAAAGAAAGAGAACAGAATAAGTGAGGGAAGGAGTTCTAGAAAGAGACTGATAGAAACATTGAAAAATTGCTGATACAAACACTAAGACTTGCAAGAAGACACACTCAATAGTGGTCAGAAGTGAACTGGGGAAAATGGAAGGAGCTCCTCCTAGATATACTGAGGGAACGGCAGCAGGGCTCCCACTTGAACAAGTTTAGCTAGGAAACGCCCCACACAGGCAATGCACCGTTATGTGTGATGCACAGATACCACAAAAATCTATCTGTTACCAGTACTTGATTTCTCCTGGGAGAATTAAGAACAAATTGATTGACTGACTGATTGATTGCATTTATAGGCTGCCCAGTAGCCCAAGGGCTCTCTGCAAGGCTTGGCAATAAAACAATCAATACTTCATTTGTTGCTGCACAATAATAAGGATTACATAAAACTTGTACTGCCTGAATTACTGCTCTTTGATTAGCCTCTTCTACTATTGGCCTCGATGGTTGTGGCTGTGAGGAGACCTTTTCTCAATGGGCATGTTTGTAATGACAATACAAGGTGTCTGCTGTCTGTACAAGCTCTGCAGAAATCATATTTGCTAGTTGTTCCCAAAGTGGTGGTTCACAATCATCTGCATTTATTAATGAAGGGTTTATATCTTTCTGGTAATGTTTTTGACATGAGAGAAAGCAGCTGCAGCTTAATATAACTAAATTTGTAGAATTCTGTGAGTAGCAGGACAATCCAATCCAGGTTAAAAGTAATGTAATGTGTACAGCTACTCTTGGGAGCTGACCACTATAATCCATACTCTAGTAACTGGCAGGTTTGCATATTGCATTACTCTACTTTTTGAAGCCTAGAAGCTTTTGCTAGAACTAATTGTTAACAGCAAATATTTGAAATGAAGACCTAACAGTCAAGACCTAGCCTAGCTTAACCTTTATAAATCTAGCCTTTCCTAAAGAAATTGTTTGATGTACTATCCATTTCCAGAATGAAATTATTTAAGAGAGCAAATGGCAGGATGTTATCTTTTATTACATCTAGTCATGAAACAGCATCTCCAGAATCCTGCATTATTATCCTGCATACATCTTCTACCTTCCAGAATTACTTTTAGGGTGCGGTCTGTGCATGCTTGGACTGAAAAAAAGTCCTACAATTTCCAGAATTTCCCCAGCAAGGAAAGTTTAAGTTCACTGTTGTATACTTCTCACTTTGGACACTGGAAAGAAAAACTTGGCATTTTTTTACTGTTCTCCCCTCTAAATTTTGTTACGTAAATCTCAACATCAATCTCTTCTACAACTTAGTTTTCTCCTGTTACTGCATAGTATTGATAGTTACTAGATAAAATGTATGGTTGTTAAAAGATGTTAAAAACAGAGAGGAAGAAGAGCTGCTGGAAAGTACTACTTTAACTATGTACACAAGATACATTGTCATGGCCCCATGATTACCAACTTGAGCTAGGTTCCTATTACGCTGCTTAAACACCGAAGCTGCATGTTGACCTTGTCTGCTTGGCA